TGACAGATAAGAGAACGAAATCCCCATAGAAGTCCAACCTGCAAGATCAGTTTGATGTTTCGTGCAGAGTGTGTGCTGAGAGCCTCTCTTCCGTCTTCCATATAACATTATCTATAAAACCAATATTTCTTAATAATGCATTTTCATGTTATTTTGGAAAAACTCAAAGAGGAGTTGAGTTCTCATCGTGGGTTGATGTGGGGCAAAAACCAAAAAAAAAAATCAACAATAGAACAAAACAAAACAAAAACGCCAGAAAACAATGCATCGGAACTCAAAGACAGGAAGAGGACATGGCTGACATTTAAAGCTTTATTTGAGGAAACTCCTTTTGTGCTTGTTATGTACCTCTAGGTAAAAAGACCTGGAAATTCTAGATTCATTTCAGTAAAATTTTCCCACCTTAAACAGCCAAGGACGTTCTTCAGTTCCATTATTTTTCTTTCTTTCTTTCTTTTCTTTTTTTTTTTTTTTTTTGCAAGCATGTAACTGGTTTCAGTAAGCATTTAAGAAACATGGCCAGTCTAGTTTTACAAACAACACTAGCTGAACCAGCCACATTTTTTACCTGCAGGCTGCCAGCTTTCCAAAAAGGGAAAAATCCTTTCATATTTTACTTATACAAAAGACTTATTTGCCTTGCAGAAAGTCTCAGCCTCGGGTTCTCACACGTAGTCCTCCGAATCAAGAGAACAGACAAGGCATATTCACGAAGAACACATAGGATTATATTTTTGCTCATCGGACACACCTTGTACCTTTGCATTTTCCTTTTTAAGTAAATTCTATATTGCACTCAACTTCATGCAAATCACTAGCAGGAAGTAGCAACCTAAGAACAAGTACATTTCAAATCATGCCAGCACGCAGGTTCAGGATTGCCCTGTTTCACTAAAGGATACTAGAAAGAAGATGTGTCATTTTCCACAAGCAAATGTAACTCATCAGCCCTTCAGAAGGTATAAAGACCAGAGGCAGACCCTCTAAATTCTAAATTCTAAATTCTAAATTCTAAACCCTCTAAATTCTGAATATTTCCCCCAGGTAAATATTGCAATGGGACGACTGTTGAGGTACTCTCCTCCCACCTTCCTCTATTGTGAAAGAAGCTGTTTATTGCAAGTAGCAACAGGATTTCTTTAAAAAAGGATTTTGTTGCCCTTCTCCGCTAATTGCTTTTTTGGCATTCTCCTGTCCACCTCTTTTTATTATCCTGCAAAATGATCATAAACCTATAGAATGTTTTAGACTACAAATGCCAAAAGGCAGAGCAATTTCAGTAAGCCTGGTGAACCCAGATGGCCTGATATGAAGATCCCCTGGAAATAGACTTTGTTAGAAAAGACTCCACATGCAGACGTCAAATGTGAACCAGGGAAAGATAGAAAGGCAGAAAGTCTCGCTCCCCTGTCTTGGTAAATCTGGGCCTCATTTCAATTAAAACTGAAGTGAAGACTCCTCCTTGAATGGTTCAAATGTCTTGAAATGGAAGGGAGAAGTGAGCTGTAGACTGAGGCAAAAGTACATACTGTATTTATAATCGAACACAGCTTTTTATATAATTACATCCTTGTGCACTTTTTATTTTTGGTTCTTAAACAAAGTCACTCAGATGAAATTAAAGAGTGTGCAGGAGAAGGTGCTTCTATGCTTCCTCCAGTTTCTATGGCAACTCGGGGGCATCTTATTCAGCTGCCTCATTGACTGAGTGTGCTCAAGTGATGCTGGCTGCAACTTTAGCGGAGCCTGGAAAAGGCAGGGAGAGTGTTTTGTTGACCTTATGGCCACCAAAAGAACTCATGATAGGACTGAAGAAAACCTCTGACATGTTAATTCAACTTTCCCTCGTTTTGTCATATATGGCACCATCTGAGAGTGCTTTTGCCGAGAGTGTTTTGGTAGAAAGGTGTGTATACTTGCCTTTGAAATTTCTCTATTGGTAAATAATCTGTTTTTATGTGAAAGTTCCTAATGCAGCTATCTATATAATGTAAAGGAACCTCCGATATACTATTCGACGAGACACTCTCTTTGCAGGACCAAATGAAGAGTTGCTTAACTGGGACTTTAGATGTAAAACTGTATTAGCAAAAATGTAAAAAAAACAAAATCCAAGTAAAATGACAAAGTCTGAGACTTGATTCATTTGTTTGTTGCACTAGATTGAATGTTTGACAAGGGATGTCTTTCTGTCCATGTGTCAGGACTGGGGAAATGCTGAGGCGAAGATGATTCACAGAACTAATAGGAGCAGAATACGAGGTCAGAGCAGTCATTTAGCAGGAGGGAGGGAAAGAACAGAGTTCACGGGAGCAAAGTCCTTACAAGACCAATTTAAACTTTAAGAAGAAACACTTCCAAATTTTAGGTTAAACATTGCATTAGGTAACCATGCTGTATTATTGTAACTTTATTAAGAGTCACTTCTGAGCACTACTAATTACAGCAACAGCAAACAGAGTGGCAGGCAAATGATAGAGAATTAAAAATGTTTGGGAAGAAGGAAGAAAAGAGGAGAGAAGGGAAGAGGAAGGTAGGAAGAAAAGGAAGGAAGGAGGAAAGGAAGGAGGAAAGAAGAAAGCAAGGGAAGAGGAAAAAAAGAAGGAAGGAAGGAAGAGAGGGAGGGAGGGATGGGAAAGGGAGGGGAGAGGAGGGGAGGAAGACAAGGAAGAGAAACAAGGAAATAGGGAGGGAAGGAAGGAAGAAAGGAAGAAGGGAGGGAAAGAAGGAGAGAGGAAGGAAGGAAGGGGAACATACATGCTATTTTTGAAATGTCTCTGGCTTTGGAGTCTCTCTATGCTTAATTTTCTTACATTTCCCTAAACCAAGAAATTGTCATAATGTTTCTACCTCACAATTCCGTAACTTTTATATTAGTAGAAGCTTGTTTGGGTACGTATGTTTGTGGTCAGAAAGCAGTCTATCAAAACCAAACCAAATATACACAAACATTTAAGTTTTCCTTGAGGGACTGTTTAACCTATAGAATTTCCATTGTAAGAGTAAAAAAATATATAGACTGTAAAGTAATGTATTCTGATTATGGCTGTGTGTCTATACAAGTATTATGTTTGTAAATAGCTGTTTTTCAACTAAGTTGATTTTAAGGTTATTGTTACTGATATATGGCTAATGGTTTCAAAAGAAGTGACTAGAAGGAGGCTAGGAGGGGAAGAAAATGGTATATATTATATTTTAAAGGTTTTACATATTTTCATTTTAAGATATTTGAAGTTGAGAAAATAGGTTTGTCTCACCAAACTTACACATTAATATGAATGTTTGCAGATGATGTTTATCTAGAATTCAAGGGTAAAAATCAAAACAAGAGGTAGGAGTTACCATCATGAATTAGAAAAGAAAGTGAGAGGGAAGGAAAGCAAGAGAGAGAGAGGAGTTTTTTTGTTTAAGCCAGGTAAGATTATTTATAGACATTTGAGATGTCCTTCCAAGTTATCATGGCAGAAGGTTGCTTACTTAATCCAAGTCTACTCTCTTGGTGCAGCATATTTTGTAAAGCCTCCTGGGTCATTTGAGCCAAATCAAAACCATTAATAATTAAACAACCAAACCATCTCATTAATTACATGTTCTTTATAGTCACTCATTTGTTGTTTTGTAGGACATGATATTTGCGATCTTAATTATCCAACTTTGTCACTTAAATGTGGTTCCGATTGAGTTCTGGATTTTTCTAAATATAGAATTTAACCTTAACCAAAAAGTTATAAAAAAAATTGTCACAAATAAAATATTCAAATGATGTGCTCTGAAAACGATTCCCAATAGGGTGTTTCAAAAATACTAGAATCCACAGTGACTTCCCTGCAAAGATATTTAATCTAAGTACTCGGTAATTGGTAGTTATTGTTATACACAAACTTTTTATATCTAAAACCCAGTTACTTTTGTTAGTTTTTAAGACAAAATAAATATATAACCATACCACCCATTTTCTAAGTTGTGATTGATTGGAGACCAAGTTCATATAGAAAACTCTGAGTGCCCAGTACTACATAATAATTGCTTAACAAATTTTTGGTTGAGTTGAATAGAATTTTCTAAAGTCAAGCTCCTTAATTGCCTCAACCTCTTAGAATATAATCTCGAACCTGAAATAAAAAAGATCTCTGAAAATCAATACAATGAAAATAAAACCCCTGCAATGAAGCCAGGTCGTTTGTGTCTCCTCTGGGCCTTCTGAACCTCCCTGCTATTACCTATGATATTAGTCATAGAGGATTATGGGATATCCTCTCTGATAATCTACATTATATAAGATACGATATGATATATGATAAACTTATCATATATGCTATATTATATCATATATGATACAATAACCTATGTCATAATAACCTATGTCATAATAACCTATGATTTATTTGACACAAAGAGTAAGGAGCAGAAAACAAACTAGTACCAGGGGAATTCTGGCAGTGGACGAAATATTAGCTGCTGGTTTCATGCTAAAGAAAGATTAAAAAGCATATCCCATCAGAAAGAGGTGCACATATTAGCTTGAGTCACATAAGGAAATGTTAAATAATATATATTATCTTTTGAATAAGGCAGATAATTGTACAATATTTTAGAAAACCATTCCTCCAAAACAAAAAAAATGCCCTTGAGGCGACAAATTTCAGTTAGTTGGAGAGAGCCATTTCCTAAGTCACTATTCACCATTATTATTCTGTTTAGTAACACTAACGTGCTACCTCTGGTTTACCTTGCTTCAATTCCTCCCTTCTGCATTCTTAACTAGTGGGTCTCCCCCTTTCCCCCAGCCATTCTACTTCTCTACTTTCCAAAGGAGGATGACCGACTCCCTTGGTTTGCCCAGAGCTTTTCCAGTTTCAGCACTGAAAGTCTTGCACTCTGGAAAACCCCTGAGTCCCAGGCAAATCAGGACAGTTGGACACCCAATTCCTAAGCCAGGCATTCTGATACTCTCCTTCGACTCGTGCTGTGCAGTACTACCTTGTAATTAGATATTTCTCTTTTTATAAAATCATTATAACAACCCTCAGATAGTGACTAATCATTAGGTCACTCAGCTCCATGGTCTGAAATATTCTGAAGAAACACTGAGGTCCTGAAACAAGCTGATCATGGATTTGGTTCTTTACTTCATTTAAAGCACATAGAGCTAGCCGTCCTTTATTTATTTATGTGTTTATTTATTCACTCACTCAAATTTGGGCAAACAAATATGATTTATTTAATCAGTTTTGCTAGCTTGAAAATGAACATTTCTAGACGGAAATTTGTTTTTTTCTTTGTGGGTATGACCTGGGAAGCTGCTGCTTCTGAAGGCTAGAGCTTGGAGGTCTTGCCTCACTTGTCACTCAAAAGACAGTCCAAGCAAAAGGACTCTGAAATTCCACCCTTGCCTTTTCTTTTTGTATACGTATTTAATAAAATAAAAAATAGAGGCCTTTATAGCATGCAACTCACTGCCTAGCGTTACCATAACCGGTCTTGCTTAATTATCTCAATTGCCCAGAGGATTGTGTTACACCTTTGGCTGTCATGGGCAGAAAGCAAAAGTGTGAATGTGGTCGGGTGCCTGCAGCTTGGTTAGTAACAGAACTTTGTGGTTTCGCCTGGAGACAGACCTAAACAATTCCTCGTTAATTGAAATTAATCTTAAGTTTGAAACTTACCCAAATCCCACAACCAGTGTTTGTAATTATTCTACTCCTTGTAAGTTGTTCTCTTCTCACCAAACATTAAATGAGGAATTTAGGAACAGGTTATGAACAAGGCAAGAATTCTGCACTAATGTATGCTGTGCAAACAAAAAGGATGTATTTTCATTAATGAAAAGGATAAAAACTGAAAAGCAGAAAGGCCTTAAATGGTGAAGCTTTTACCAAGCATATGTACGAAAAGAAAGTGCATAGAGTAGTCACAAAAACCCACCACCTAGTATTGAGTGGCCTCAGTTTAAGTCTCAGCACTAATAATTCATATACGTACTTGGACAAGGTGCTTAACCTCTCTGAGCCTTAGTTTCTTCATTTCTTAAATGAGGATAATAATACAGCCTATTCCATAGAGTTGCTGTTAAGACTAAATTATTTAGTACTTAGAAAGGATTTAGAGTCATATTTGAAATATAAATAATAATTACCATATTAAAGAAAAAATAGCAAGGTACAACCCATATTTTAGAATGCAAATTTTCTCCGTATTTCCAACCTTGAAAAACATTTTATTTATTTCAAATCTGCCAGAGAAAGTGGCATTTCCTTTGGGACTACATATCCTTGGTAGCTTTGTGACCTGAAACGATATATAATTGAGTGGATAAAATTAGGTTTAGATGCAGGTAAAACTGGAATTCACATACTACCTCACTGATTCATTAGCTTTAAAATTCATACTCGGTTTCTTCACCTAAAACAGGGGTCAACACACTACTGGCCATGAGCCAAATCTAGCCCGCTGGCTGTAGAAGTTAGTAAAACTTTTTTGAAACACAGCCATACCATTTGTTTTCATACTGTCTGTAACTGCTTTCACATCACAAGGCTGAATTTGCATACTTGAGACAGAGACCCTCTGGTTCATAAAGCCAAACAATACTTATTGCCTGGCCCTTTACAGAACTTATTTGCCAAGTCTTAATCTATAATACAAAAGAATAACATCCTGATTTGGTTTCTGTGGGAATGAGATAAAAATAATAGGTAATGCAAGAACTCTACACATAGTTGAGACTCAATAAAGAGTAACTACACATTATCACCCATTAAACAGAGAATCAAAATCTAAACTTCATAATATTTTTGTTAGTTTTTTTTTTTTGGGGGGGGGCTAGTTTATTGGTCTTTTCTATTCCCTTTCTACCTAGGCTGTTGTATCCAAAAACAAAATATGAGCTTGACTTCCTCAAACTTGAATTAAACTAATCTGCCACCCCACTGCACCTGTCTGTTGCCATTTCTATGGCTCTATTCATCTAACCTCTCAGGGTTTATGTTCTATTGTTTGGGAACATTTGCTTTATGGTGTTTCTAGAGTAATCATACAGGAAGCCCAAAGATTCTTCCACCAATTTGTTTTCAATTTTTAATTTTTTTATTTAGAAATAATAAAATAAGACATAATATATAAAAATATGTACAATCCATGGTTTGTGCAGTACAATAGGAAGACTTTAGATACAAAAAGACAGCAAATGGGAAAATAATAACTATCACGATTGTCAATGGCTAGGATTGTTCAACTTGCCAGAGCCCAGAGCTGAAACTCAAAATTACTAGAAAAGAGATTCTACTTTGCTGAGGGTTAGGGATGGGCAGGTAACTATGCCACACTTTTTTTTTTCACCTGAACATTATTAGACACAGAGTGAAAAAGAACTCACTCTACTTCTCAGGACAAGCTTTTGCTTTTACTGAGTGGTTTATTATAAAATATGAAGTGACATTTATTAATTGTAAGGGAAATACGATTTACGGGACAGAGCTCATCAAATAAACATCAAGACTTGGGGTAGGAGTGTATTGGGAAGAAAGGAAGTAAAGAGAAGAAAGAATGCATTAACAGAATAAAAACAAAGTAAAACAAACTTTTCTAGGAATTTGAAAATGACAACAGTGCTATAGTGACATCCTTAAAATGTCTGATTCAAGTATACTCTTAGAGGGATAGAAAACTACTCCTTTCTCAATAATCAAAATAGAATTCACTTTGTCTACATTTTATTTAAAAATAGGATAACCAGGAATCTATGGCTCCCCCCAAAAATATAGTGCCCTTCCAGATATGGGCAAAAATTCTTTAAAAGGGAATAAATCCTAAGTAAATTCAACAGGGAATCTGCTTGCAATAGAGAAGCAACACACATCTGGGAATTGACCCCAGATATTCACGGTGAGTCCCCTCCATCTGCATTCTAATGACATGTGTACACTAATTAAGGAGACCCAGTCAAGAAGGACAAATATTTTGAAGGTAAAATGCAGCAATGAATGTCGTGCATTACCTGTGTCTTGGCTCTTGACAAAAAAAAAAAAAAAAAAAAAGAAAGAAAGAAAAAATTGCCATTTAAAGCTTGTAACTGTTAAAATGCTAATAACTAGAAAAAGGTTTCAAATGAACAGTCCATGCTGAAATAAATAACAGAAGAACATAGCAATACGAACCTTATAAGGCTGGTATATATTTGCTAAAACCATGCTAACCCGTAGCATATAGGTACTAGCTCTCAGACATTGCTGTACTGACATTATACTTTCTATGGCAATTATTTTTCTTTACAGACCTCTATTTACATTTGGCTTTAAATATGAAAATATCTGATAAACTTTATAAAATGTACACTTTAAAAACATAGCTTCTGCAAAATTTTCTTGAAAAAACAAACCTGTGCACCAGAAATTTTATATTTTTTTCTCTTTTTCAGAAATAAGTTGAAAGATTTCCCTCCCTCTTTCTTGCCCCCCCCCCATGCCCACCCCCTTTCAAATTTCTCAAGTCTTTTTAAGTGGCAGCACTCTGTGTTTAGGGGGAGCCTCTTTTGTGGCCACCCCCATTCTCCACTGTATCTTCATTTAATTTACATATCACTGAATACTCTTTGGTTTGATTATTTTCCTTTGCAAAACATCATAATAGCAGCAGCTGAAGCCCTCAATATCCTCTCACTGTCAAGAACCAAATTGTTGCCTCTTCTGTAAGTTTTCTTGTCCACTCAATCCCCAATTCCTCCAACTCTTTAAACACCTTCCCAAACCTGCCTTAACATTTGGATCTAAAACAACCACTTGCTTAACATCTCTTTCTCGGTTTCATTGAAAATAACACCTCAGTTTTCAAAGCCATCAAATCTGAAGGCTGAAAACAGCAAAAATTGTCATAGTTTTGCAGGCACGGCATTCAGATATGGCTGTTCAAGAACCAGAGACCATCACAAACATCAATTTACAAAATATGTGATTCTAGAACAAGCTGTTTTTTAATGGCATACAGAGATATAATACCATAAGAGAGTTGATTTTGAGACTCCAATTAAAAAGAAAAGTCAGTAACCCCAGAATTCACAAATAGGGAATTTTAAATTAAAAAAAAAACAAAAAAAAAAACAAAAAAAGAGTTCCATTATTGAGCTACAGTGAGAAAAAAAAAAAAAAAATGTGTCTAGCAAGGCAGTCAGCCAGGCAGGGGAGGCTTCTGGAAAACAATGTGTCCTTCCTTAGTAACCTGCTCTAGGGCTCCACAGGAGACAATGCTTAGCTCACATTCAATCATAAGTATGCACACAGAAAAGGGAAATAGCCTTTTTAGACCATTATCTCCTTTACTTGTCATTATGTTGTATTTTTATGACTCTCTTTGACCCTAAAATACTGAGACATTTTCATTACTCTCCTCTGCCATAAAAAAGGCAAGTTTCCTCTTCCTCCTAAATACTTGATCTGAAGTGCTGCATCAGATTGGTTTGTCCACACCTCCCCGTTTCCCCGCTTTGGCATTCACCGCTCTATCTGACACTGTAGGACTCACTCCAGACAGACTGATCAGAGGAACAAGCGTGGAGGCCAGGTGTGGCATCTCCTCTAAGGTGAAGGTGGGCTGGCGATGTCCTGACAGTCCAGGCAATAAATTCAGCAGCAAGGGTTTACACCCATTTATCTTTCATGCTGGATGGCTCAGTTTTGAGAATGCCAGGATGCCAAGGAGGTCCTATGAAGATCTTATGAAATGAATTTTGGAATGTGCAAAAGGGAAGGCCCAGAAACATGTAAGAGTACATCACCATCTCGCACACTACACATGAGCCTGGCCAGCACTGCCTAGCAGGAAAGGATGGATGTTGGTATTGTGTGTATGTGAATTTTACTGCCCCTTTCTTCTTCTTCCTCTTAAAATAAAAAAAAGTTACATGAAAGGACAAAATTTTAAAAAGCACTACACTGACTAGACTCGGTGAGTATGATGCTCTATTTTCTGAATAAGGTGCAAAATGAACCGGCGGTTCAAGGTCTTGCTGAGGTTCAAAGTTATTGTCTCTTGATTTCAAGGCAGCCCATGGGGCTTTGTTTTCTTTTAAGTGTAAGCTCCACTGTGCAAAAATATGCATTATCTTTGGTATTTATTTTAGGTAGTTTAACTTAAAATTTGAGATAACCCATTAACATCATGGAGGAAAAAAAAAACAACAACAACCCAGAGGCTACCATTTGGCTAGTGTTACATAATGCCCTTATGTAACAAAGAGAGAGAGAAAAAAAATCAATTCTAGCAAACAAATTACTGGCCTCAAAAAATCAGGCTCTTGTTTTGGCAGTTGATAGCCAAATACTTGCCACTTTGAAGCGCATCATGAGCTTTCAATCAAGTTCAACACTGACTTTAAAATTACACAGAAGGAAAACTACACTGCAACAAAAATACACATTTGTGTTCATGTAGTTAGCAGCTTTTCAAAAATTAAGGCAGAGTCTTGCCTTTGTTATGCCATTAAAAACATCCTTGTTCCCTAAAGAGAAGCATTCTGGATAAATCAAATACCCAACCAAGGCTTGCCTGCAAGTTCAAGTTTTGGAAAAACACAAAACAAAACATAAAAACCCATAACTTATTCTACAACATCTATGTGCCATTGGGTCACAATGGAGGCATGGTTAGTGCTTTATGCTAATCATGGAGCTTACAGTCTTTCTTTGAAACCATTGTGCTTGCCTCAGTCCCTTGTGGCCGCTTGCTTGACCCATCTTGACCAGTACCGTCATCTGTATAACTGTTTTGGGCCTCTGACCAACAGACCGTGTTGTAAAGTAACTATTCCAGAGGAGGAATCAGTCAGTCATATCTCCGACTCTCGCCGTAAGGGCCTGGGCTCTAGAGGTACACTTGCCTGGTTGTGAAGGTCTATGTCAGGGGGCGTGTCCGTACTAGTGCTTTCTGGAACTCCGTTTTCACTGTCATCTTCCTCTTTGCTTGTGAGGGCAACTTCATTTTCATAGCAAAATGAATTCGCATTTGAGAGGATGTATTTCTTTTCTGCTAAGTCTCTTGCACTGCAAAGGGGAGTGTTGGGGACTTCGTAAGTTTTGTGGAACCTGGAATAGTCCACTTTGTAGTAGTGCTTCTCTTCAAAGAGCACAGGCTCATAGCGGTGGCCCCACAGGATTTCATTTGCTAGATAAGAGCTACGGCACTGTGTCGTCATGGCAGTGGCTTCCACCATGCCTTCCAGTATGACCACGATTTCAAAGTCTGCATTGTCAATGTCCTGTTTACTCAAATCATATAAAGGACTGTCTTCGTCTATTTCATGGACTATAGTGATTGGGGACACCAGAAATATACGATCGATTCCACTGTCAAACCCAACATTGATGTCTATTTGATCCAGAGGGATATACTCCCCTTCAGAAGTGATTCTGGATTTGAGGAGCTGTGCTCGGACATGAGCTTCCACCAAGTGGCTTTTCCGAAGATTGCCCACTCGCCACATCAAACACAGCTTGCCATCTCTCATGGCAATCACAGCATTGTGACTGAAGACGAGAGTCTCGTTTCTCTTCTTTGGCTTTGCCATCTTGGCCATGACTGCACCAATGATGAAAGCATCAATGATGCAGCCCACGATTGACTGGAACACCACCATGAAAACAGCAATTGGGCATTCATCCGTGACACACCTGAAACCATAGCCTATGGTTGTCTGGGTCTCAATGGAGAAGAGGAAGGCAGCCGTGAAGCTGTTGACTTCGGACACACAAGCTTTGCCCTCTTTGGATGCATCCAGGTCCCCATGGAGCAGAGCTATCAACCAAAACACACAGCCAAAAAACAGCCATGACAGGACGAAAGCCAGGCAGAAGATAACCAGCATCCACCGCCAGCGAATGTCCACACACGTGGTGAAGATGTCTGCGAGGTACCGTTGCCCCTTCTCACCCACATTGATGAACTGAACGTTACAGTGACCATCTTTCTTCACAAAGCGGCTCCTGCACTGTTGTCGGGTGTGGACTTTACTCTTCCCGTTCCCAAAGCCATTTGCAACTGCCATGGTGGCCAACTTCATACCGTCTTCTTCTGAAGAGACAATGCTGTAGCGGTTGGTTCGCACACTGCCCATCGCTTCTGCTGGGGACTCCAGTGCCTCTGCTTTGGAAAACAGTCTGAGTTTTTGCAAAACGCTTTGGAGAAACAGTTTTGAATGTTCGGTGAAGACACACACACACAAAAAATGAGGAGAGATGGGTGTCTCTGGGAGCCTCGGGGTTCTACCAAGGTCTGTCTGCTGACATGCAGAGTTACTTTAATAACTCAGCTGACATCCAGAGAACATGTCCTGCAAGAAAAGAGAGATTGTGCATTACAAAATAAGCCACTCTTAAAGAATTCTACTGTCTAAGACAATACATCCTAACAAAAACACATAATCAGGTAAAGATAAGTATACTTCACATTAAATTATAAGGTTTTACATTTCTTTGTATCCTAAGCATGCTTTGTAAACCTTTTATTTAAAAGCATAAAGTCGTTAAACATAGGAGAGTTGTCTGTGACAGTTGTTCAACCAAAATGTCAGGTCAGGTCCCCTTTCCCTTATTTTTGGCCAGGGATCTAGAATATTCTATTTTTCAGGTCTACCTCTCCCTTCTCTTATTCTCTTCTTTGGCCTGCCCCACCTGCTACGATCCCTGTTAAGCAGATGAAAGACTGTCTGATCCCAAGGTTTGTCGTAAAATTTTTGGAAAGAGGACATGTTTAGAAATCTTCACGTGGACGCAGTATTGATATTCACTGAGTTGCATGTGCACTACGGGAGAATATGAGAGCCCCTGATGGCAAGGTTGAAATCGGAAGACAGACTATTTTGTTTAAATGATATAACTAGCAGACCAGATAGGCTGAGGAAATGCTAGAGGACGAAAGTCAGATTCCCACCTACAAATATAATAGTGATATGGATTTTGAAGTAGGCTTGATTGAGTGTATCCTGAAAACAGAGGGAACTAGTGGACAAAACCTCCTACGATGGTGAATACTGCCCCTAATGCTTATAATCATCTGAAATGGATCCCAGTTTCTGGATACTGTTTGGGCTTGCTTCATCACTTCTCACACTTCAAGCAACCACTATGCAGAAATGCCTGCTAAGTCTCTATTAGTGCAGGTAATTCTGGCTTGAAGACTTTGAAGACGCAGGTTTGCTCTGGGGGATAGAGAGCAATTCTGTTGCCTAGCAATAAGAGTCCTGAAATTCTCCTGAGATGGGGCTGTCATGTGTAATGACAGGCTAGGAAGTAAGCACCATTGTGCGAAAGGACCAGGTCTTTAGCGGATTGAGATAAGGCAGGAACTCATTTCATGTCAGTCCAATGCTGTGTTCTCTCAGACAGAGACAACTGTGTAAGGACAGATCGTAAATGCTAGTCCGCTTACTTTCATTTCCAGCGCTGTTATTTGCTACAGGTTCCTATGGAGAAGGCACTCACCTTTACCTAATATGTGCAAATAGTAGTTCTCAGTTTTCTCCAATTGCCTCATTCTTCCCTAGGTAAGAACTATCTATTTACTTTAACTTGCCATCCTCACTCCTAAGAAACTATTTTCCTTGACTAACTAACAAAAAACTAAGAGAAAGTCTAAGGTGCTTTCTTTACCAAATGTGTGATAACAAAACGAATATAAGTTAGAACTCAAAAATAAAGCCCATCCTTAACTTTTCATACAACCAAATCCTTCTGCTATATTAAATGGGGGCAATGAATAACTCATGAAAGGAGTCAGAGATTTGTTGATGCCTGATAATGAAGACTCCATTTTTTTCTTTTCCTCTAAATCCATTAAGATTACACAGTTAACAGAACCGATTTCAGCCAAGCCAGCTGCAAACAAATAAAGCCATCCATTTACATTGTTTTTGTGCGATCCCTTAAAAAGAGGCAAGGTGCATTGCCTTTGAAAATGCCATGTTACTGTCTTTTGACTTCTTCTTTATCCAAGTTATTATGCAAGAATGTGCCCCAACACATTTTTCCTGAGATTAGTCATCTCTGAAAATTGCAATGTGTGTTACATTTTGGCAGCTTTTGACACCTAAATGATGCTTGGTTTGAAAGTGCCTTTGAATCACTTTATAAAAAGAAGTTACTGTGCTTTCTTAACCTTCCACCTGCTTCAATGTTTTGTCTGCTTCCCTGTGAAGTTTGCACTTGGACCAAAGAGACAAGAATCCTACCCCTCAACGTTCTAGATCCTGTACATGGACAGCATTTTTCAAGTAATTAGTTCATCTTAGTTGCCTCACATTTCTAAACAGACAGAAACAGCAACACCACCAAACGCAGGTGTACGTTTCAAAAAAAAGGGAGAAGAGCTTCATTTAATGAATGCTTTGTATTCTTGAGTTCTGATTGACTTCAGAACTTTGTATTATAAGCTGACACCAAGAAATTCCCTTTTCATGATTCAAAACAATCCTTCCTTGTGAGTTACCATTAGGGGCCATGAGTAGACAGTGTCAAATTTCTTCTGACTTATTTCTGTACTCCTTCCAGATTAAAACATAACAACCATATGAAATCTAAAGACTGAATTATGACTTTCCAAAAATCTTGACCCCGGGACATTTGTTTGAATTCCACAAATCACACAATACCAGCTTCCTATGAATAGCTTTCCACATTTAGAATCTTGAAAGTGGTCTGTATTGAGAGACTATTATTGTCTTATTTCCATTGCTAATAACAGAATTTGTCCCACAATTGATGTGGGGCATCATTTAGAAATTTTACCATTTCTTCCTGGAAAGAGAAAAAGAGGAGTTTCGCTTTTTGGTTTGTTTTGTTTTGTTTGGCAAAATGAAAACTTTTGCCACTTCAAATAGATACGCCCCAAAACAGATTTATGTGTGTATGCATGTGCACACACATATACTATGTATTCAGACTTTTTGTGGAGCTGATTACATAGCTAAAAGCTAGAACCTGTCAGGGTTTGATGGGGTAACGGTCTTAATGTTTCATGGTAAAAATTGCTTTCACTGTTAACCTGCCCACATGCCTGAGCGACTTTAAGCAAGCACAAAACTTCCTTGCCCGGTCCTCTCTCACTAGCAATTACCAATTCGTGAACAAGCTGGGAAAAGCTATCATTAAAAAAAACAGGGCTTACATGCAACTTTATTTCAAGCATATATTCAAAATAATGTTTTGAGATGCAATCAATTAGGAATAGATGAGAACACTAAGTGATACAAATCCAGAGAATTGAAATTTGATTTGATGAACAATGTGTAAATTTCCCTTCCAGCCAAAATATTTAAGGGCCTAGATGTAAATTTCATGGACACAAATAATCATTTTTATCCAGGCCATAACCCATGATGTAGAAAGTATTTTTGGGAAATTGAGAGGTTACATGTGGTGCTGTTCATGTTAAGACTATTTATAGGCTGAGCCAAAATTAAGCATAAGCAATGGAAAAAATAGTTCAGCGCTTTAAACTTAGGTAGATGTTAAAGCAGAACGAGCTATGGATAAATGTAAGGTCAAGGAGATCACATGGTACAAATGGGGGATCTAAATTGCTTTGACTTATAGAGGTAATACTTCCAATATGGTTTATGAATGACTAAAACAAAATCAAATGAGAGTAAATGTGTCCTGAAACACGGTCATGATGTGCAATGAATAAGAAAGTTTCCAAGGATAGGAAATAAAGATAGCAAAAGAAAACGTACTGGGCTGAGAGGTCTGCTAATGAGTGTTTAGAGCAGCTATTTCCCAGCTGACGCCATATAGACCAGCCTGAGTGTGCTCTGGGCACATGTTGCTATGTGAGCACAACTGCTAGGAAAGCAACCTCTTAGAAGCTCAATAAACATAAGGGAGGAGGAGGGGGAAGAGGGAGGGGAGGGGGGATACCCATCTATCTACGTGAGCCCCATGTCTAACATTTATACTCAACGACACTTGGCTTGTAGCACTGCTCAGCACCTGCATATGCTGAAAAACAGACATGTTTGGTAAATAAAAATATACACTTAAAAATTTGAAACATCCAATCTGTGCAGGTAGCTCTTTTCAATCTTTCAGGCTACGCAAAAGTCATACAAGGACGCTACAGCTAACCAGAGACTCTGCAACTGAGGAAGGAGTCCGAAGGATGTAGAAAAACTGTGTTCTTTTATTTTTTTAAAAAAAGCAAAATTCACAAGAGTTTAGATCAAATATTTCTTATGGAGACCAAGAACATTAAAAAACAAAGTGTCATTAAAATATGAGAAAGGAGGGCAGGAAGCTAAGTAAAATGGCCTTGACCTTATCCTCACCCTTTCCACCATGCTTCAATTAACATCTCTTACCCCTTCTGAGCACCAGGATTTTTTCCAGATAATGGCAAATAGAAATGAAACATTTGGAAGTGAGCAGGAAAACGCTAACAAGTGTACCGATAATGTACATCAGACACACAACAGTGATTGGCTAGAGGAAATCTGGTAGCCTATTGATTATTCATGTGAAAAGAAAACAAATGGCAAAATGCAATATGGATTCTCTGCATATCCAAGGTTTTCAAATAACACCTTATTTCCTAACAAGTAAAATCTGAATTTATGAAAATCGTCAGAATGCACAGCCTTATCCTAGTGATCATCCTATGATATCCTTACCCAGACACAGACATTAAACTGCCCATTTCCTATCCTTGTTTTTTTTTCCAATTGTCATGATGAATCCATGCTATGATGCAATCTTTTTGCAGAATCAAGTCGTTTTGACTATTTTGCTTCCCTAAAACCACACTGTCTTCAAGCCAGGTATTACCATTATTACTAAAAATAACAAATTGATTAAGGGAGAGTCATATGTAATGTGAAAGTTTTGCGATCCTCAGGCTCAAATCCAACTCGGGCTCCCGCTCTTCTTTCAGGAAGGCAACTTTGAGACACTCACTCTGTTTGAAACTCACGGCTATACTTTGAAGCAATGACGAAAAAAAACAAAAAACAAAAAACAAAAAAACCCGCCAAGGATCAAGAATAGTGCTAAGTCCCAAGATTTGCCAAGGTTTAAGACCAGGGCTCAAGACGCACGCCCAAACCCTCAACCACGTTTTCTTTTTTTTTTTTTTCCCTTAGAGTGAGAACCGAACACAGACACTCTCGCCCTTGCCTCCAAACCCAGTATCTCGCTACAGCTGGTGCACTGGAAGTTATGAGCACAAACAGATGCTGCAGAGAAATCTGTTTCTATTGCTCAACTGTTCCAAGCATGTCTCAGTATTTTTAGCTCTGGGGATGTTCTGGTGCGCACACAAACTATATAGGCATGATCTGGGACTCCGGAGCGTGGGTGAGCGCTACAGCAGTGTGACAGCTGGGCACCTCTGGAGCAGCGGGGCAGGGTAGGGTAGGGGACGGCGGCCAGAGTCCATTCCCCAGGACACACAGGCAGCTAGCGAAAAGGAAGAAAACACAGCAGCCCTTACCTGTTGCTGGCGCAGGAGCATGGGGACATGGAGTGGAAGTGGGGGGTACAGAGGCATGTAAGATCCAGTGGTTTGTAAAAAGCGAGTGAGCCAAAGCAAACCAGAATTCCCAAGACCCAGCCTGCCGGCGCCGGGAAGGCTGCGCGCTGGCCAGGGCTCCAGTGCGCTCTGCAATATCCTGGGCTCTTTTGAGGCTGTCCGTGCGACACCGGCTCTCCTGGCCCCGCCCCCGGCCGCTGCCGGCCAATCGCAGCGCGCCTGGCCGCGCGGCCGGCCCCGGGAACCGCGGCGGGGAGGGGAGGATGCTGCGAGGCGTTGCCAGCGGAGTGAACCTGCCGCCGCCGCCTCCCCCTCCACCCTCGGAGCCCGGCCGGGGGAGTCGGGCCGGGCCGGGGAGGAGGAAGTTGCGGCCCAGCTGGGACAGCAGCAGGTGGGAAGCTGCGCGCCCGGCTGTTGCGGCTGCCTGATTGCAGCCTGGCCTTGGGCAAAGCTTCCTACTCCGTCTGGAGCCCCACACACTTCCCGGTTCCCCCGCTCGGGGGCCGCTTGCCCTGCGTGCTCCTCGAGGGGCCTGCGAGGTGCCAGCGCCAGGGAGAGACATTTACCGCCGGGGCAGGATTGCTCGTCGGCCCCGGCACGTGTCGCTCTCCCTTCCCTCTCTGCCGGAGCCCCTCGGCCCTTGGAAGTCCCCCGGGGAGGCTGCAGCGCCCGGAGAAGCCGCAGAGTCAATGGGGCGAGGGACTGGGGCGGGCGAGCAGAGCACCCAGGATTGAGACGTGCGCAAGTGCGGTCACTGCAGCGCCGCTTGGCTGTTTCTTCTCCCGACAGTTCGCGAATTACTTACAAGGAGCCTAGGCTTCTCTGAAGGGTGGACGGCTCGTTCCCTCTCGCCTTGTCCGCCGTCGATCTCTCCGCCGCCGCCCGGCACGCTTTGCTGATCTAAAATCAGAACAATTAAGAGAGTAATGATTTTTTTGGAATAGCAACTCCTACAGACACTCAGATCTGCCCTCGCTTCAGCGCCTCCCAGCCCTCATTCCCAGCAGCCAGGCGAGAGCGCGCAGACCCCTAAAAAGCAACTTGTGTTACCCGGGTCTGGATCCTGGAACTTTATAAACTAATCCGTGTGTGTGTGTAAACCGAAGAGTAAGTGCCTATTATTTCTGAGTACTTCGGTGTCCTAACGAAGCTTTGCTTCTAAAGGACAGGATATGTTTTAGGAGTCTCCTTCCACTGAGTTTTTTAAATGTTTATTTCCTCGAGCGATCAAATGTGTCTTTTGTGCAGTTTATTTAAACTTCGAAAGGCCTCCTTGAGTCGCTAAACTAATTGAGCAAACTAGCTGGTATTGTGGACGGCGCAGTCGGGATGGATTTTTGTGTGTAGGAGAGGTGAAACTGACAATTCAAGGAAAGGTTCTGTGCGAGTCCCCACCTCCCATCCTCATATCCACACGTGGCCCCTAGGAGGTGCTGGTGAAATACGGTTGCTTAGGTTTTGCAGATACGCACTTAATCCTGCCTCACCAAGTGTGCCTTTTTTCTTCGCACTGAGCAAGGTACTTAAATTAAAAGGGTGTGCAAGAGATGATTCATTCAGTGTAGCTGCTCTGATAGCCAAATGGCGATGTGGTTCCAGTTAATTTGTTGAGATTATACTGTTCACCAAGTCCTGTTACCAACTCTGTTGCCGTGAACGTGGGAATAATACCTGCCCCAAGGGAGGTCTTCTTTAACATCTATTGTCATGTGTTATTTATAAACAGCTTGAATTAACACTGTAAAATAGATGGATGTCTAAGAACCTAGGCTGTATAAAAGAACCCGAGGATAGACAAGATAACTCTATATTAACCAAAGGATAATGAATGAGTTCACCGCTCAGTTCAATAAGCTTCTGAAATATGCTTCCTCCTGGACTTCTAAGAAACAGGCCAAAACTTTAATTATCCTTTAAAACATGTTAAGCCTAAATAGAAAAAGGAAATTAATCACTTATAGATTTTCTCTTCTTTATTATGATTCAGTTGGTGCATCTGTTGATGGCTAAGAATTTTCCAAACCATGTGAATTCAGAGAGGCAACACTTTTGTTGTTGTTCCAGGTAATGAGCTCTCTTTGAAAACCAGTCACTCGGAAAGGGATGCCATTTTTATGCAACTTGGTTCGAAATGGTTTTGCTTTAGTATTCTATACACCACAGGCCAAAATAGTTTCATATGATAAGAAAATCTTTAAAGAAAGGAACACAGAGTTATTAGGTTATGGTTGGCTGTATAAATTTAGCTGGGCAGGGGGAGGAAGGTCATAATAAATGTATTCTGCTCTCTCTCATCAATTATCAGCATCAATCCCCTAACATTCTCTCCTCCCAAAGACTGAAGGATGTGCAGCAAAGCTTATTTCTTGAAGGAGAAGGTTCGGGAAAAATTAATAATTTTAATTAGAACTTTCCAATCTAAGTAGAATCATTACCTTAATTAGCTAGATAAGGAAGTAGGAAGGATGAAATTTTGCAAATGAAATTTTGGAAATGCATGGTAGCATAGAATACCCCCATTGCTTCATTTTAAAAAAAGAAAATATAAATGTATTTTAATTAATAAATGACTTTTCATCATGTCCCTATTAGGAAAATTCTGTGTGCCAATGCTTTCAGTGTTTGAGTTAATACATCTTTTGAAGTGATGCGTGATACAGATTTCTGTATTCAGAGTCTATCTTTTTTGGCTGAATCAGGCCTTATTTAGCAAAAATCCCCATTAGTCTTGGACATGAATGCAATTGGGTGTTGGGATCCATCTGTGGATTAAATTTTTCCAAGGAAATGACAATTATGCTCTTACTGATTCTCTCCACGGTAACCACCTATAATATTAGAGCCAAATATTAGTCACAATCTGGATCTGCAGTCAGATTGTGAATAGCTGTGTGACGCAGAAGGTGATTGTTTCACTAGAAGCACAAATCTTTCCTTTGCATTTATATAAAGATCCCCAACAATTAGACATACTTTCAGACTTCCATTCACCATATATATACAGTTCAATATCACACTGATAAAAGATGAAACGCTCCTGGCATCTGTATCCACTGGATATTAAAAACCACTTTCTAATCTTCAAAGTAATCATCATTAGCAATAAAGAGTAAATAAATCGTTGTCAGATTGCCCGGAAATGTAGACAGGCTGAGTTTGCAATCTGCTGCTATGAGAACAAGCCATGTACTGTGGTGTTTTAAGGCGCTGTATGTAATCTTATTTATTGGAAAACAGTTTTGGCCTTAAGTTTCACTTACCGCATTGGTAATATTTAATCTTCGTATTTTTAAATTCAGTGAACATATTTGTTGAAATAACTACTTTGTACTTTGGCTATATGCTAGGTGAGATGAAAGACAGAAGGGTCCTAGGGGGAGCAGTACCTGTTCTTAGGAGTTCAGAATGTCCAGCTGAGAAGACAAGGCAGAAGTGAAACATTTAAATGATCAAACAACAATATAAGGCAGCTTATGATTACGCACTAAAATGGATCAAGCAACAATTAAAACAATAATTTTAGAGAGATTTTGAAGAATGGAATGAAGCAGGGTAAGACTTTGTAATGGAAGATTTAATAAATACGACATATTACTATGTGTAGTGGTATCAAGGATGCTGAGAACACATCAGAAGATAGGAGTGTCTCCTCATTCAATTAATTTCCTAAATGCCCACTATGCCCCAGACCTTTCTATATACAGGTAATCAAGCATATACATTATAAGTTGTTTCTAAGAATAAATGTCAGTTACATGGAAATGAATGAAAGGAACAGTATGTTTTAGTATAACTTTTGATAATTACTCAATATGATTATAATAAACATAAGCTCTTTCGTTTTTTACCTTTAATACAGTAGGCCTATCAGGGTACAGTAGAGCCTTTTCTCCTGCATTAAATGACCCTAGACGAAGCTTATTTAAGCCTTTCTGCTTGTTTTTCCTTCTCCATCAATGTGAGCCTTCCGTTCTCATTTTTGCTTCTGATAATGTGCCTTGGATCTGTCAGGCTGTCACCATGCTCTGCCTAATTTGTTGATTCTAATCTGTGCTGGGCTGATAAATTATGTAACCAAGGTTGCTAAAGTAATGTAAAAGCAAATATGATTTAACATATCTAAAGATGCATTTTTGAAATAGTATGAGCAGATGCTGAATTTGGAGTTACCTTCACTTGCTCAACCTCCTTTTCAGGTAAAAAAGCTTCGGGATTTGGATTGATGGCATCTATTTTGCTTCTCAGAGCATTTAAATGGCTTGGTCTTTGTATTTGCTGTTATAAATAGCTGAGGAAAACTTCTGAGTAATTGAGATACCTGTGTGTTTGCAACTATCCATATGTTTATATGTATACATAAAACAAAATCATCTACTCATTTATTGAGAAAATATTTGAGTGCTTACTTTATCCATTTATTATTATGACCTTCATTTTCCATCAAGTATGTTAAAACCCAAAACAATAAGTGGCGCTGTTCTTTAAGAAGCTCACACTTCCAGAGCCTCCATGTTATTAATTAGTAAATTAACTCTTCTGTCATGCTCTGGAAGACGTCATTTATCTCACACGAGTGAGACAAGTACACTCTGAAAATACCATATTCATTTTAGGGCCAGACCCTACGTTACTGTGTTTCTTGATTCCATGATTACAATGATCGTTTCATCTGTGTTTTCTGGGATGCATTAGGTCTCCCAAAGGTAATAAGTTTACAGCCTCAGTTTACCCTCTATAACCACGGATAGCAGTTCCTTAGATCAGGTATCCTTGCCGTAAGCGCAGGTCATCGGTTAGAAGAGGTGCCAGCTGAGAAAATATCAATCATTATGCACAGACTCATCATTGCCACTGGGGAAAGGCAAGCCTTATAACTGGAAGGGTATAGTATCATCATTGAATCATAGTAATCAAGCAGTAATAAGAAGACTAATAATCAGCTAGGCTGTATGGAGGGTTTTCCAGGAAACAAACACTGCTTTTGTGCTTTACAGGATGTGCTATTCTGATATTCTGTATTGCACGTACATTTGCATGGGAAAATAATGAAGAGGGGGAAGATAGGAAGGAAGGAGGAAGTAGAGGAGACAAGAAAATATTCATTAGAAATTATTGGTTCTAAAGGAGACACAAACACGTTCAGTAGCCACCAAGGAAAGTGAGACTGCCACCAGCATCCATAGTCCCCCTCTACAGCACAGTGAGAAATGCTTTTCAGTGCCACCATCAGCAAACTGAATCTCATGTTTAAAACACCTGTAAGAATGTCTCTTTGCTTTAGTAATACATCTTTGGAAGATCGTAAGAGTCACGCAACTTGACTTTTTCCAGAACTTATAAAAACAAAACAAAAAATTAAAACAAGCAACACAAACTTCAGATAGCCAAAACGAATCACTATTGTAGACATTTATGGAATATGCCACAAGCTACGAAGAAAATGCAAAACATATTTTGAGTAACGTCAACAACACTGTAATGATACTCTTGAAAGAAAATGTACATACTTGAATGTCTAGATTTTCAGATGTGGGCTTTAAGAGTTTGTGGATTTTTTTTTTAAAGAGTATTTTTTGGTATTTTAAAAAATTATTGCTAAAATGATGTATGTCTGTTTTGGAAAATGTAAAAGATAAGCATTTTAAAATGTAGAAGAATGTAGGTAAATGTGGAAAATAATATAAATTCATATTCCCACCATTGAAAGATAACCATTATAAAGACTTTGATATATCTTTCTGCTTTTCCTGTATTTCTGTTTCTATTTTTAAATCTATGTTATAACTTTTAAAAATTAACATAATGGGTTTTTTTTTAATGATGAGGTCTCACTATATTGACCAGGCTGTTCTCAAACTCCTGGCCTCAAGTGATCCTCAAACTCAGCCTCCCAAAGTGCTGGAATTATAGGCATGAGCCACCGCACCTAGCCTCTATAATTTTAAGATCAATTATGTCATATTTTCAATACATGAGCATCACACTTTTTATATCATGCAAGTATCTGTCATGCAACTAAAAATTATTTGAAAGTGTATATTTTAATGCTCACATATATTTTATGAATTATAATTAATTCTCACCTATTCTTATACCTTTATATTCATTTTTTTTTCACCCTTACAAGTATGCATTTACTTGGTGTTGGAGATTTTTTTTATCTTCATATCTTTCTCCATTCATTATAGATTTCTAGATGTACAATTACTAGGTCAAAGCTTATGAACTCTTAAAGGTTTTTGTTGTTGTTGTTGTTGTTTTTTAATGCAGTTCTTTCTAATGAAATCCCAATGGATTGAATCTCAAGGATGTTCTAAATTATGTGACTTTGCATAGTGGCTGTATTGCCCAATAGGGAGAGGTTGAGCTTTGGGTCAACTTGACATGTGTTTGCAACCTGCCACTTACTAGTTGTGAAAGATTGTTATAGGAATTAGAAATAATAAATCTAAAATGCCTAATACTTTGTGATCAACTAATCAAAGGTATCTTTTTATTCTATCACTATTGCTCCTGCCACTAATGATGATGAAAATGATAAGGTGAATAAATCAAACATGTTAACTAGGATAATAAGGCATGCATACAATAAGTCTATAAATAAATAACAGAAGTTTATGTAGTGCTTGATTAAGTGCTAAAGTCATAAATGAAGAGGTAAGCATCTGGGGAACTTAGCAACAGATTAGTTCTATATTTGATAGGACAGGTTGGCATGAAACAGAGAAAACAGTAAAATGGATTTCACAGTTGATCAGAATTTGAATAAATTCATGTATTTAAAGAAATATTAAAATTGAACATTAAACTTGGACCAGAGTTTAGTCTTTCAAGACAAAGATGTTGAGTTGACGCTTGATTCTTTGCACAAGGAGAGATCTACAGATGACTGAGCAGGAGGATAGGGTGTGTAAACAGGGCTGTTGGAACATTAATCGGACTGTCATTTCTTCATCCATTGCCTCTGGCTGCAGCCCTACCATCTTATCTTTGCTTCCATTTTTGTTTTCTTAATGTGATTTCCAACATTCCAATTTTTATTTAAAAGGAAATAGAGATACAGAAATTATGTTCCAACTGTTCATGTGAATAGGACCTATACATGTGGACTCCTAAGCTGCTGATACCAAATTCAATGTTTATTCCTCTACTTTCTGCAGAGTATAACTTTTCCTAGCATCTCTGCTCAGACAAATCTAGAAACCTAAAATAAAACCTCTGTTTTTCAAAGCCACTTTCTAATTCTCCCTGACAGATCCTCCACATTATTTCTCTCCTAACTCTGAAATACATGAAATTTGAATTTTTGCTCCTTATGCACGACCCAATTCCAAATGCTTGGCTCAATTTTCATGCTTCCCTGTGCAAGAGTTTCTTCCATTTTAAAAATAAATTTGATCAGTGTCTACAGGTTTAATTGAATGTTTCCTTTATCACTGACCAGCTTCCATTCTGTAGGCACTTATCCTCAATTGAGATTTAATGTCAGTGTTCCAATAAATTTATGTTTTCATATTCAAAGTCCTAGTGTATAAGTTACAAATAAATAAAACTTGTATTGCAACTATGCAAAACTAAAATGCTATACCCAACTACTACCAATAACATTAGTGATTTATGATAGCACAATAATATTCATAGCATTATATGACTATTAAAAGAAAATGCAAGTTTTCAGGTGAAACTTTTAGCTCCATGACAGACCAGCCTGTAGTTATCAGTGTATACAGTTTACAGCTACAAAAACTGACTTTGCTATTTATTGCAGAAAAGTACTCAGTTAAAAGTAAGTATTGTTCCTTCAGCAAAATATTCACTGACCCAAAACTCTTTGTGACATTTTACAATGCACACAGCCTCATGCAAGTTTAGACAAGTAGACTTATACTGTCTTATGAGTGCCTGCCCCTAATAAACTACCTCGTAATGCAAAAGTAACATATCTTTCATGACTATTTTGACAAAAGTTTAAAACACATATGATGAAGTTCAACTTTCAGGAACCAAGGACTGCCAGAAAATATTAGTTTCTACATTATATATGCATTTAGAAGTTTACTTGAAATCTGCCTTTTATAAAGGAATGGTATGAATAAGTGAAACTGTACATTTTTTAAACTTGATTGCCATTAAAGCAGAAATTCTAAGGTTGAAAAAAATAGGTGCTTCATTAGATTTTTTAATGCACTTATTAGGCTCAAATCCAGACATTTCATCTGCATCATTTGGATTTGAGCTACATACAATTCATTTTAAGTGTTAAAGAAATTTAAATGAATTACTATTATAAGCAAATGTTTTTAGAAATTATTTCTAGGATTAGCGATAGAGCAACTCAGAATTTATATCATAGACTTAAATTCTATCACCAGTGTTTCAGCTTCTGATCTTTTTATCACAAAGATCTCGTTTCAAAACATGTAGTAATACAAAAGTCTATTCTTTTGTATGGTTTGCATAACTGAGTCACCAAGTTTTAGCAAGGCAGGAACTGACAGTATAAATAATGTTTTGTGTTTTTTTTTGCAATCTGATTGTCATTTCCCTGCATGTAAACAGAAATATGTGAATACTCACATCTTGCCTGTTAAGTCAACTTGGGAAAAAGTTAGGAGAGCTAGCTTTCCCATTTACTGAGATTAAACCTCTTTTATGTGTTAGCACGTGTAAGAATGCTTGGAAAAAAACCTTGAAAAATAATCTGTCCTACCTATCAAAGTCCAAAGCTATTGCTTTTACTGTGTATTATTTTTCTATAAAAAAGTAATGCCTTCTTTGCACAGATTAAGTTAAGGAAAGTATATACTTAATAGTTTCATTGGCAGAAAGCAAATTCCAAAAGTATATGAACATGCAGGCACACACTACAGACTCATGCACATACACAATTATATCTGTTGACCCAATGATGACACATCCAAAAACCTCATAAAAAGATGAAGAGGGCTAAGATTTGATTTGCAGTTGCTTAATTCTAACAGAAGAGCTGTGGTCAGTTCTAAGACTCTTTGTCGTAACCTGCCTTCATGATCTTGATTTTATGATATTTAGAGTCCAGTTACATTTTGCAATTTAAAAAGTCACCTATTCACTCGTTACACACATATTTATTATGCACTAAATTATGAAACATTCAAAATAGATACTGGCAGCTCTCAATATTTTTGAAAAGTAGAACAATCTGTAAAGTTCTAAGGCCAAACAGCTTCAACATGTCAGTAAAACATGAGCTAAGTACACATAATTTAAGCAGTTCCCTTAGACTAAAAGACAATGCACATTTTATCTGAACATCTACCTGGTCAAAGTATCATTTACCCAACAGCCTTAGTCCCCAATGCCGTATCCATAGTTTCAAAATCCAGATAGTATAATGGAAATTTATACAAGTCTCTTTAATCCTGCGTTCAAAATGAATCAATGCTCTTCTCTAAGTGAATTAAACACAGAAATTAGTTTACTCCTCTCTGTATTGTATCTTCTTTCCTTAAGCATTGCTTGCCTTTGTTCCTTTTTTTTCTCTCCATAGTCCATACATTAATTCAAGTCCTACATAAAGGGGATCGGTACCAAAAAATAGCCGGTGATCCACGCGGAATGCTCTGAATTGTATTACTACCACGATTTAGCATTGAATTCATTCTGAAAATACAGCTCAAGACCTGCATGATTCCAGCTCCACAGGCTCCACTGAAAAGCATTGCCTATCAAAGCAACACACAGAAAAAGCACCAAACATGCTTGATAATATAAAACCACGCCATACCCCCACAGAATGAGACAATCCAGTCAGCAAGAAAAAAACAATCATTGTTGGAATGATTTCTCCATAATGGAAAGCAATTCTCTGTGAATTGACTTACAGGTCATGACATAAAACCAAAGAAACAAAGAAAGAACTCTAAGCATTGACAGATGTTCTGTGCTCGCTCCTGCCTCCTGAACCCCTCCGAGTCTCCATCAGAAGGCAGCCTGACCTGCAGCCCCTTTCAAGCAACTTAGGAACTGGAGAGCTCTCATACAAAAGGTTTTACCCCTAATTCCACTGAAGACCCCCTCGAACCAAGAAAAAATTTTCTCACAGGAGAATTTAAGAGAGTCTATGGATTCATGCTCGATTTCATAATTTCCTCTCTGTACAAAAACCAGGGTATTTATTTCACTTACGTAATTTCCAGGGAATCAGTTGCATGACCTGACTTGTATTCTGTTGGTCTACTGAGGGGACCTTACCGTCAGTCACCCTTGGTGAGAACATACCCAAGGGCTGATATATGACTGCAAAGGAACTTAACAATTCCTGGAAGGAAAAGGGTTAAGAGCCAGTAAAAACAGCATAAATTTACACATGACCTAGTGCGATTACACTTTTATTCTCTTCCTTGGAAGAAACAACAACAATGACAACCTCCATAACTAATGCTTCTGGTCTAAAAAACCTTCTCCCTAAAGGACATGTTTTCACCCACTACCGATGATCTCAACAACTTTCTGGATAGAAAGGACCTATAGACAGAGAGATGTACCTGCCGGTGAGTTTTCTTCCCAAAGGATCTGAAAAGTCCATTCCAGGTCATGGGAAAATCATCTCAACGATTGTGCTGAAGGGAGCAGCCTTGTATGATTGGTTTGTGATGGTTCGATTCAAGCTGACAAGTTCTAGAATGATCATTGTTTTGTCCCAATCTTAACTTGCTAAGAAGGGAGATGGCTTGAATAGCCAGAGGCCTTGACTCCAGAAAGAACTGTGAGTAGATAAAAGCTACTGCAGTGGCTTCATTTAAAAAAAAAAAAAAAAAAAAAAAAGCTGGCCCTGATACCATTGCCTTCCATGAGGCAGAGTGCTCTGCCTTTTTCTTTGCAAAATATAGGAAGAGGATTGTCTAAGCAAGTGAAAAGTAGTTGGGGACAAATAAAGGACACACGTTTTTTTTTCCTTTTATAGGTGAGATCAAATGCACCAAAGACTAAACGAAGCCAATGCCTCAGTCCTGTCTGTCCTAGCCTTGCAATAGAGGCGTCACTAGGTGAATAAGCTAGTTACAAACTGAGCTTTTTAGTATAGGGTTCTCTGGGGCCAGCAGAAAGGGAGCAGACAGGTGGGCTACAACCTCTCCCTCCTACTCATATCTCTCAACAACCCAACAATCTCCTTTCCTCTTTGTCTTTCCCTTTCCTCCTCTAGGAATTTTTCATCAGCTGAAGAACAGGGGCATTTGCTGCCACAGAGAGAAGTTGCTTTTTTGCCTTTAGCCATGGATGTATCAGGGTGGTCATGTATTCACCTGGAGAGCCCACAGATACCACTGACACAGCAGCTGCTCTGACAATAGCCCATCAATTGTACTCTCTTCTCTTTCTCCCCTCTCCTCCTCCTTCCTGCTATCCACACACAAATCCTTCAAGGAAAACCTCTACAATGCTTCCTGACAACAGGGCTGAAATATCTGGAGTAGCGGATACCTTAGAAGGGCTATCTTGGAGACTTCGGAATGAAATTGATGGTATTAGAAGTGCTGATGAAGAACTAATTTAAATGGAAAAGGTAGACATCCAGAAAAAAGTAAACATTTAGAGATAGCGTTAATTGGAAGATTTTTATTTTAAAATCTATTCTTAAAAAAAAAAAAAAACACTTCAATTTTTTTGTGTGGAGTGACTTTCCTTGCACCGTACATATGGGCTATTCTAAAATACATCTCTCTCCTTTTATTCATGAAAAATAATACGACTAAGAGAATTATTGATGGAGAAGTATCTGGGTCAGGAAAATGACCCAAAACTGAGATTTATGCTTTACTGAAGAATATCCTTATATTACTAGACCTGTAGAAAAGAAAACTCTGCATTTTTCTAATATATTTAAGTAAGGGCACCACATGTTCCCTTCTGGAAAGAATAATAAGAGTGTGCAAACTGTGTCCACAGGCCAAATCAAGCTCACAACTTATACATACAGCTCGTGAACGAAGAATGTTTTTACGTTTTTAAGGTAGCAAACAATCAAGAGAGGAATACTATTTTGTGACATTTAAACATTTTATGAGATTCAAATATATGTATTCATGAATAAAGTTTTATTGGAACACAGCTATGTTCATTCGGTTACAGATTGTCTCTGACTGCTTCCCAGCTGCAACAGCAGAGTTGAGTGGGTGACACAGGGCGTGTATGTGGGCCCATACAATCTAAAACACTCACTATCTGATCCTTTATTTTTAAAAAAGTTTGCTGATTGCTGACCTAGAGTAATGCGATGAAGCATCAGGCTGAATTGAGTAAAAAGGATGTGAGAACTGTCTCTCATTTTGATTCTTGGAGGCTGAGTAAATTTGACTAATTTACTTAAATGTTGGTGCTTCCTCATTAAAGTTGAGATAAAATTCAGGGCCAGGCGCACTGGCTCACGCCTGTAATCCCAGCACTTCGGGAGGCTGAGGCAGGTGGATCACGAGGTCAGGATTTCAAGACCAGCCTGGCCAAGATAGTGAAACACCATCTCTACTAAAAATACAAAAATTAGCTGGGTGTGGTGTAGGGCACCTGTAATGCCAGCTACTCAGGAGGCTGAGGCAGAGAATTGCTTGAACCCGGGAGGCGGAGGTTGCAATGAGCTGAGATCATGCTACTGCACTCCAGCTTGGGCGACAGAGCAAGACTCCGTCTCAAAAAAATAAAAAATTATCTAATTTTTTTTTTTTTAGGATGCACTAAATAATGATTGTAAATATGTACACAAACAATAAATGTGTCTGACTGTGGTGACTCATGCCTGTAATCTCAGCACTTTGGGAGGCTGAGGTGGAAGGATCACTCGAGCCCACGAGTTCAAGGCCAGCCTGGGCAACCTACAGCAACCCCATCTCTGCAAAAAATAGAAAAATTGGCCATGTTTGGTGGCACGTACCTGTAGTCCCAGCTACTCTAGAGGATGAGGCAGGAGGGTCACTTGAGCCTGGAAGGTCAAGGCTGCAGTGAGCTGTGATCATGCCACCGCATGCCAACCAGGGTGACAGAGCAAGACCCTGTCTCAAAAACAAACAGAATGAAAACCTAATACATGTTATTTTCTGTTCAGACTAATTATAATTGACATGCTTTGATCAAATACCCTTACATATTAAGTGGCTTCCAAATGGGTTCATAAAATAGAATGAGAAATATTATTAATATCAGTCAATAAAATCAATGAATGTGAATGATTCCATGAAGATAAACTTTTGACCTATTTTTCGACACCGTATATTTTCTTGATTTTTGCAAATCTATCACTAGACTGTTGTAAGCCAGCTATTCCACAGAGGGATATAGGAGTCTGTAAAGTTTTCAGGCAAATGTTTAACTTTGGGTTGTTTCAACTAAACACATCATGAATTTGATCTCATTGGAGATCATGAAATGCTGCATTTAAGAACTCAAAACACCTTGAATATGATCTCATTAGTGATCATTAAATGTTGCACTTAAGAGTACTTAGTGATTAAAAAGCAACATCAAAAACAATAATTGAATAAATTGGACTATTTTGCAACCAAAATTATATCCTGAAAAGTGTTTAAGAACTTCACTTAATTTTGAATGCGTATTGTACTATTGTTTGATTTTATTTCTTTTATTAAAAAATAGATCTGTTTATACCAATGTCTATATTTTTATCTTTTGCTATGTTTGACCTCAGGGCCAGAATTAGGATGAGGTAAGTAAGGCACTACACTCCTCAGGTGTAAAATTTAAGAGGCACACACACAAAAAAACCCCCGCCGGTAATCAAGATAAACAATACTGTAATGCACTATCTTTTAAATAAAAAATTATGCAAAATAACTTACAATAAGCAAAATAGATCATGTGTATGTGTGCATATAGATTAGTTGGAGTTGTCTACAATAGAAAACTTCAAAATAACAATCTACTAACCAAATAGACATATTTTTCTCTCATGAAAAAACATTTAGAGATGGGTATTCCATGGCCGGATGGGGGCCCCATGGCATTTTGTGAAGGTCAGGCTCCCATATCTTTGCTCCAATATTATGCACACACACACACACACACAGGCACACACATATGTGTATATAATTTAACAAGTGGCATAGTTGATGTGATTATAATTTGGTTTTTTTTTTCTTATGTTTGTTTTCTATTTTTCTCTAAAAATTTGTTATTTCATAATAAGGAACAAAACCTGATATACTCTATTACTTTACAAATACAAAAGAGATATGATTCCATTTTCATTACCTCTTATGTTTGTTTTTCTTATTAAGGCCATGATGCAGTTTTGATCTTCCATTTGCTTAGGTGGCTACAAAGAATGCTGGTAAATGCTCTTTCAGGGCATGCAGAAGTCATATTTCTCTACTCATTAGGAGAAGAAAACCTTTTATCTGTCTAGAAACAACTAAATCATTCACGTAATATTTTGATTTTTAGCTATTAAATGAGTGAAAGCAGAAATAGTTCTAAACCAACATAAATTCACTAGTGGGAGAGGCTCGGGAAAATTCCCTTGCTTGATTTAACAAGGAAAAATAAAAAGTAGAATGCATATTTTCACCATAATTCATTTTGCAGCTTTTACCACCATGCCTCATAGAAAGCAATTCTTGGTAAACTTTCTCTAGGAACCTAACTACAAAGTCATAAATGACTTGTTCTTACTAGATATTTCTAAAAATTAATAGAAGTTTGTTGATTTCTCCCTGAGCCCCTTTAGACCTACCTTTAAGCCTAATGGAATCTTATTCTGTCAGCGCCAAATTGTCAGTTTATTTTAATATCAAAAGCTCGGTATTAAACAAGGCTTTTAAAGCTTCTGCTCATTTGAATATTTTCTTTAAAAGCAAGAGGAAAAAACACATCCTATTATTAACTCTCCTGCCCTAGGTTTGTCTTTGCACTGTTAATAATATGAAATGCTAAACCCACAGACAGCCCCTGAAAATAAGTGAAAAGCTTCCTGAAAATATTAGTTTTCAGTGAGATCATGTCTGATGGGTTTGTTTACCTGACATGGATTTTTTTTTAAGAGTTTTCATAGCAGTTGCATAATGGGTATGCTTCCATAGAGGACAATTAGCCAATCAAACCATGTGGCAGATGTGGGTAAAAATTTCAGAACAGCTTCGAGGAATCAATTAAAGTAAAATGCAACAGAGGGGGAAAAATAAAATATGAAGATGAATGGGATTAAAAAATAATAAATGATTGCATTTCATGAGAAATTCTAGGAAGGGAATTTATCAAACATTAAAGATAAATAAAACCGACCCACAAATTTTGGTGAAATCTTGATGTTCAGAATCTATTCCAATGAAATAGAAACAGCTATGCTAATTACCTCAAACAAAATGGGATACTTCTGAATCCTTTATATTTTAGGACTAAAAAGTTTTATTTAAAAAAAGATTTAGCGGCCAGGCATGATAGCTCATACCTGTACTCACAGCACTTTGGGAGGCTGAGGCAGGTGGATCACTTGAGCCCAGGAGTTTGAGAACAGCCTGAGCCACACAGTGAGATCTCGTCTCTACTAAAAATATTTTTAAAATGGAGCAAGGTGTGATGGCATGTTCCCATAGTATTAGCTACTTTAGAGGCTGAGGCAAGAGGATTGCTTGAGCCTGGGAGATCAAGGCTGCAGTGAACAGTGATCATGCCACTGCAGTCCAGCCTTGGCAACACAACGAGATCCCATCTCAAAATTAAAATAAAATAAAATAAAATAAAAAGGGATTTAGTGATTATTGAGGTTAACTACTTATCAGAACTCTATGGACAAGTTAATTCATTTATCTTATCCTGATTTTATTCTCCAAACAAAAGAGGGAGTTGAACAAGACCTTCCTTAAGATTCCGTCGTTACTTTTCTCTGTGATATTTTTGGTATAACTAAAATGGCAGAAATTTTGCCTTATGTCATTTGGCCATCTTAATAATTTGATTTACTAGAAATGTAATTGTTAGTATCCATTTTAAACACTTCTGCATGAATATAAGTCCCCTGGGGGTCATACAATGTAAATGATTATGATAAGAACACAGTTAAATAGTTATTAACTTAATTTTCCCTGACCTGGTGTTTTTAGTCACATAACAATGGCCCCCAACATTTGGGCACCAGGGACTGGTTTCATGGAAGACCATGTTTCCACAGACAGGAGAGGGTCGGTTGTGGGTGATGGTTTCGGGATGATTCAAGCACATTACACTTATCCCTAGAGTCTCATAAGGAGCACGTAACCTAGATCCCTCGCCTGCACAGTTCACAATGGAGTTTACACTCCTATGAGAATTGAATGCTGCCCCAATCTGACAGGAAGCAGAGCTCAGGTGACAATACTCGCTCACCTGCCACTCACATTCTGCTGTGTGGCCCAGTTCATAACAGGCCACAGGTCATGGACCAGTACTGGGGGTTGGGGACCCCTGTCCTATAACATTCAACATGACATCACCATATGATTTCTTCTGTTTGTTTTTTATGTAGTGACTTTGATATCTCTTAGAGTCCACCCAAAGATGCTATTACTATTATTAGTATCATTATAGTTTTCATTAGAGTATGCCAAACTAAAGACAACTACTTACTTTCTTTATGGCCAGTAATTGCATATCAATTTAAAACCTGTGTTTCTCTGTATCTTTTCAATACAATGTTCTTAACATAGATATGGATTTCCTTCATACAGGCTCCTGGAAAAACTTAGTAGACTGGCAGCTTTCATTGCAAATAAGCAGGAAATAAGAAGATAGTGCATTTGATATTTTCAAAAGAGTTTCCTCTGTAAGTATTTGTAAACAAGCATGCCAACAAGTTTTTGCAAGCCTCTGTCTTGCTTATATGCTATGACAGCTAACAAAAATCAATGATTTGCTGTAGCCACCTGATAAACATCAACTTTACTGAAAACTAAATATCCCTCATTCATATATTGTATCAAATATCCCTCATTCACATATAGCAATTAAGTTTATGGCAGTCACAAAAAGTATATTAAGATAGAGATTTTTTCCACTATAAATGTCTTTTTTTCAATACTTTAAAAATATATTGAACATTGTTCATTGGGACAGTAGCTACAACACGT